GTACTACACATATTTTTTTATGCATAAACAAATCGTATGAAAAACAAATATCATTTCCGTCCACCAAGAATTATCGTTAGTTGTACAGAAATAGTGAAAGTACGCGGAGAGGCAGGCTGTTATGGAGGAGGAGGAGGAGGCAGCGGCGGTGGCGGTGGCGGAGGTGTAACGAGGAGCAGTGGCGACGGCGGCGGCGGCGGCGGGCGGAGAGAAATCGCTGTGGCTGCGGCTGCGGCCTTGAACGGACGGGCGGGCGGGTGGGCGCGCGTGAAAGTTCACGGCCAGTGCGTTCGGCCCGGCGTCTTCGTGTCCGTCCAGGAAGTGTTGAACGACGCCGCCGTATGTCCCGGAAATGGGTCATGAGCGCCCTCTTCTTCTTCTTCTTCTTCTTTCTTTATTCCACCGCACGTACGTGCGGCGGGCTTATCCGACGTGACGCGTGTTTTTTTCATACGCGAGTAGTTGTTACTTTGTTGTCCGTGTTTTCGTTCCTTTATAATAATAATAATTATATATTGTTATTGTCCGTTTCCGGGAGTCCGATGCTTAATGCCGGTTGACGGTGGCGATCGAATTGTCGCCGAGAACAATAATTGTTCGCTGTTTAAGATGGATCTGAGAAAAATGCGCATTTATTTGGCAGAATAACTTAACTAACCGCACGCTCGTTGATCGCCGGGGTTTAAACGCCGAGTAATTTCTTTTATGAAAATTACACAACTGTCGACAGCTGTTAAGTAACGCGTGTCTATGCGTCATCTCGGCCGCGCGGTAGTACGTTGGTTTTTGCACAGGTTAAAAATACTATAGCGTAGTGCATTCGAACGGTTTTGCGGGCGGAAAATCGTTACGCCGTAATATATTTTGTATAATATATATATATATATATTAGCCGACGGGAAATGAATAAAACAATAATAATTATTATTTATATGTATGTAATTATATATTATATAGTCGAAATATGTATATTTGTAACGCGCGTACATCACACCGGATAAGTGCATTGTGTACGGTCGGATGTCAAAAGGGCTTCGGAAACGCCGCTTACATTGAAACTCGTGCTTTTGGCAAGGCGAAATAACGGGCGGGACGAGCGGGCAACGCGCGTTTGACGGCGGAGGAGACCTTTGCGGCGGGGCAGGAAGAGCAGAAACGTACGGCTCGTGGCAAACGTGAAAGTCCCACCTCTACCCTACTCTCTGCCCTTCCCCGCCTTGTCAGCGGCCGTCGCACTCGCATAGGCGGCGGCGGCTTGGGTAGCGCCCGCTAGGCGCCCGTTTTGCGCCTCCCCTACTCCGCCCTCCCCTGCTCGCCCGTCTGCCTTGTGTGTTGTATAACACTACACATGTATTGAGATCGATCACACGGGCGCGTCTGTATCCACCCCGCCGCCGCCGTACTTACAGTACACGGTCAAGGGGAAGTGGGTGGGTGGGTGATCGAGGGGAGGGTAGCCTAAAACATTTTGCCGACATTGACGTCACACGTGCCGTTCATTTTTCCACATAGACGTCCCTGCACTTCTTCCTTTTCTGCCAAACTTGACCGATTAATTTTTTCGTTTTCGATGCTAATAATGGTCGTTATATTTTACAGTGTAACAAGGTTGTAATAATATTAAAATTAAAATAATAATAATAATTATTATTATTATAATTTACTACATTTACATTCAATTGGTTTAATATACCGGCGCGCCGTTTTCACTTTTGGTCCCGTTTTCGGAAGACCGGTCTTTCATCGGGTTAGATACTTTTCGGATTGGTTACAATATTAAATTGTACTCAATGATAAACCTATATAGGCGACATGTAAGCACCGGTTGAATATAAGCGACGGCGGCGGGGTAAGCGTGCGCCACCGGTAGAGTCAGCTGTGTATCGATTGCCGGCCGGCGAAAAACGCAAACGCGCTCCCGCGCCGCCCAACCACTCGTCCCCGGACTGCCGGGGTTCTAGGGGCGCGACGGGCAATGCCTCCGTCTGCTTCGGCGGGACGTTTGACCCGCCGGCTGCCACCGCCACCGCCGCTTACCGCTAATGTAGGGCGAGGGCGGCCCGTAGCCTTGAGACTAGCGTCTGCCGCCGCGCCGACAGCCCCCGGTGCCCGCCCGACACCCACGCCTGGGCCGCCGAGTGAAAGTCCTCCCGGCCGTCGTATCGCACGTGCCGCTCGAACATGTATATAATAATATATGCGTGCATTGCGAAACGCTCGCCGGCGTATGACCCCGTCGCGGTGAGGTACGATCGCGTCGGACGCGACACGTCAACGCGAATCCTCCCGCGTACGCCGCCTGATTATTTATGCGGCCAAATCCGTCGAAGATTATATAAGAATCAAAAAAAATATATATATATATAACCGAAAAAAACAAACAAAATGTTAAAACAACAACGGCGACATAATATTATACATATAACGACGATATTGTAATCGGTCGCTGTTCGCGGTTTGCGTCCCGTGTCGCAACGACACGAAATAATATAATCGATCCGCCGGTGTCTACAAGAATCGCGATAATGTTATGCAACCGTCACTCCGGGTCTGTTTGTCGAGCTGATTAAAAAAAAAACAAAATTGAAAAAATAGCAATTGGGTTATCTACAGACGACGCGTTGTGCGCATGCGCGTTTGTCAGGACGACGTTACGTAAAAAATGCCGTTCTTGCGGTCCATAAAATGAACGTGTTAGTAATTCTGTGAGTTTCACCCCACAAATATAATAATATCAAGCGGTAAATAATTTACACGAACGTCCGCCTATAATGTAACGTTAATAATGTTATTGCTCCCCGAGCGAGACGTTATCCTTTTCAACTTCAAGGCCGCCGCCGCCGCCTTTAAGACACGTTTATTATATTGCCTCGGTCCCGAAAACCGCAAAGGTCTATCTCTCTCTCAAAATAATATTGTTATGTGGGTCACACGACAATTGGTCTCACATCCCTTTTCTTTATTTAATTTTTTTTCCCTTTTTCTGTCACATTTCTTCTCGGCCATTTATTTATTGTCTCATCAAACGCTCGTTTGTTCCGGACAATTTAACCTAACCGCTTGTGTTAAACCGATCCTCCACACACACACACACACACACATGCAACGTGATTTAACCCTTTTCAACGTTCTTCGTGTACGGCTCGTGACCCAATTTCCGAGACAACAACAGTTGGTCACGGTGTTTTTTTTTTTGTTTTCTTTTTTCTGTGTACTCTCGGGCCCGTTCCTTTTTTTTTTTTGGTCGTCTAAGGGTTTGACCCAGTTCCCTGGGCCTATCCACCCGCACGTTTATTTTCGGTAAACGTCTTCCCGTGGTCGCCGTATGCACCCGGTGCCAAAAAAAAAAATAAAAAAAATACCATTATACAAAACACACTGACCCCATTTTCGAAATAACAAAAAAAAACAAATTCAATCGCCCACGGCTTTCCGCGCCCTAGAGACGGTTTTTTTTTCCGCCGTATTTTTTTCCTTTCTACACTTCAACTCTCGAGGAAACAATACACAATACGCCCAAGGCTAAATACTATGATAATAATAATCGTATTACGATAGGGTTATTATAGCTGTTTATCCGTAATAGCCATCTTGTACAGTCACATCACAGTGTACACAACAGAAGTCGACCGCTAATGGCAATAGCCGCAATAAGACTTTTTATTATTATTTTTATCTCTTTGTTTGACTGCGTTATTTAGTAAGATACGCTTGTTGTGTGATTATTTGTCATTATATAAAATATACATAGATAAATAATTTTGCCCACCAGTTTCGTATCAAGATAATGTTGAAAACTCTTTAAAACAACGTATTGGTAAATTATTGTATTGGATTAATTCCATTTTTTTTTTTATTTCTACACTTTTGGCGTTTAGCGCAATTTAAGAATATTGTATTATATATTTGACGCCCACGCGCGTGGGTCGTCTTGTGTAAGTATGCCAGTAGAGCGAAATTGTGTGTAAAAAAAAAAAGAGAAATAAGGAAGAAGCGTATGTATATGTATATAAATATAAATAATATTGAAAGTGGATTCGTTTTCTAACAACCGCCGTACCGGAACAAACGCAAGGCGGAATTCGCGGTCGCCGTCACTTTCTTCGTTCCGGATTCCGCAAACGATAATGAAAACAAAAAAAAAAACACTCACACACATACGCAACTCTTCCATACATAAGCGCTTATAAATATTCACGTTGCATACGAGAAAAAGGTTTTTTTTTTTTTTTATATTTTATTTCTCGAACAACGTCTTCGTAGCGCATATTATCTTCTTGAGATCACCAAACGTCGCTCGATCCGAGTATATAAAATAATAATATGGCTTTTAGCCGAGAAGGTATTGTTGTCTATTATATACACCTACCCACACATCATAATATTATCTGCAAGAGTCGTGCGATGGCATTGATACGGCGACTTAATAATTTAGCACCGTACACCGTAACCCTTTTGTTCTTGTTTACCGAGTGGTGGGTGCAGGTATACAACCCCTTCGGAGGGTGTAAGGTGTTAGCGCGACGTTTGCGGATGACAATCATTCTGTTTTTGAATACGCGTCACGATTGCGGGGGAGAGAATAATATAATAATATATACAATAACGATATATTATGCGCGCGTGCAAAGCGTTTTACTCGTACGATAATCATATTTTACTTTAAGACGATGATGACGATGATTATTATACACGACAAGCATCTGAGGGAAGCAGGTGAAAAAGTGGGTCAAGGAGACGATGTGGCAACCGCGCGCCTCAACCCACTTTCCCTTCCGGTGCCGTATCTGCCGCCGGTCAGCGGTTGTACCTATAATGATATATACTTATGTGTGTGTGTGTGTGTGTACTCTCAAGTACGCTCGCAGGTTCTTGCCCGCTGAAACGATTCGCTTTCGTTGACGGCGCTCGACTCGACTATAATAATAGTGTACCTACTGCATTAACAGCAGCACAGCTGATGCGCACTATTGATATCACATCTCGTATTGTTTTCGCAGGTAACGAAAAGGACGAGAACATCGACTTCCTCGATCAACTCCGGATACCGGGCGGAACTGCTGTAGGAAATCCGGCACCGGCTTCCGACCATATGCCGCCCAGGCAACAACAGTTGTCGTTCGCCTTGCCCCACGGTTTCCACCATCACGCCGGTTAGTATACTATATAGCAATATTGTCGTTTAAGAATAGCAATAGTATGATGACGACGACGAGTGATATCCTCCGGGCACAATCCCGGGGATGACCCACAAAACAAACGTTAAACAATAATAATATAGCGATTTAATTAATCATATTATTATTATTATCATTGGCCTCCGCCACCAGTGTGTGTATAAATTCGACGGTCGGCGTGTTTACATTTCACCTCCTCCGGGTTAGGACTTTCTATTGTTTACATACGGTTGTCGACTCGACTTGTGTACAAGATAATATGTATTATATATATATATATACAAATGCCGAGAACAGACCGGAAGAACCGGCCGGGCTCGCTGCGCCGTTCGAAAGTCCCGGCGGTTTCACTCGGTTCCGCCACCGCACCGCCGCCGATTGTAATTGATAAATTAATTAACCAACTCTTAACAAAAATATGTTACACCCAAAGGCACGCGTTCGGGCTTGTGTGAAAATTGAAAACCGTTTGTATATCAGCCGTTTTTTAGTTCCCAGACGGAATCTCTCCCCTATTGTATTATTATATGTCGAAGCATCCGCGGGGTTTATCCGATATTTTTTTACACGTGTACATAACGGCAATAAATAATCATTTTTTATTATTTTTATTTTTTTTTTACAACGCGATCATTACAATAAAAAAAGATTCGGCGGCCGCTGGTCATCGCATCGATGGGAAACGTCGGTTACAATATGCCACGGCGGTGGACAGCGGTCAAACCCGTTCGACCGCCGGACGTTGGTCAGTGTGTATCGATGAGGGCTGTAATAGGTATAGGTACACGTTTATAAGTTCTTCCCTTAAGTCGTCGTTGTACGTATGTACACTTACCCCGTGGCTAGTGCGTGACGGCCGTGGTCATCGCCACCGTTTTTTTGGTACACGGTTTGCACATCCCCGTCCGGGTAGTAAAAAATATACAATAAAAAACAACCGGTATGCCGCGTTACCGGTTTTCCTCCCTCTCGGTATGTGTCCGGCGAGGCTCCTAAAGTCCTATACACACACAGCGTTGCGTATATGTAAAACTTAGAAAAAAATTAATTTATAAAAAAAAGCGGACACTGAAAAAACGCACATAGAAAATATTAACAGTATAACGATGTTTTCGAAGTATTTGTTTGGCCACGGACAGTTAAAAACATTTATACTATTTTCTTTTTTGTGCGCTATGGGACCGGGTACATTTTTTTTTTTTTACGTATGATAACTCAACTTTATGACTAGGTTTATTTGAGTTGCGGTAATACACGTACATTATGTATTATAGTTACACAGACGCTGGTTAATGGTTCGGTATCCAACATTTGTTAGTATGCCTATCGCTCTCACACGGTTATATGGTGGTACGGGGGTACCTATATAGCTTTGGCTTGCAAGACATAATTTCAATACGTTTTTTTTCATCGGGTTGACCAATTGCTCGTATTATAATCGCATTAACGTTCTTCCGCCGTTTGTAAGGATTCCAACGGCTGGTTTGTCCAGGCAGGCAGGCAGGCAGCCGCCGCCGCCGCGGTGGTCGGTTGAGAGCCGGTCAAGCGACCTTTGACATAACGGACGAAAATACAATAATTTGTTTTATTATTTAATGCACACCGATTTTTTTTTGTTCACTATAGCCGTTCAACTGCGTTCGGTAAAAGACGTCGCCGACCGTATAAGGTGCATGGGAAAGGTCAACGGTCCCCCTGGCCCCCTTCCCCCCCCCCGGGCTCTTGCAGTGACCGATGGTCAGTCCGCTTGACCACCGTCGCCGCCGCCGCCGCCGCCGTTTGGATCTCGCAAAAAACAGGTTCCCGTTCGTTGTAAATTGTATATTATACTTGAACGCGCATCCCTTCGATCGATATAGACTCGTGTCTATGTGTGTGTGTGTGTGTGTGTACTATACTATACTATACTATAATATAATATGATTATTATTGTGTAACGCGTTAACGGCGTACGACGGCCTCAGAATATTATAGAAAAACGTTATTATATTATCGGGTATTACATTGTGTGTGTGTGTGTCCAAGGCGAATCGCAGACGGCAAAACGCGTTTTTTTCCAACCGTTTTTATACCATTAAATCGGAAACCGAATTGTGTCATTGCCGCCGCGCATAGACCGCCGTTATTATTATACCTCGGCGCGCATATCGTAAAAATCGGATAAAACAATGTAACTTAAACGACCGCCGAGAACCTCCAAAATTCCAATGCGAAGAAATCCCGCGGCGAGGAATTTTTTCTAAAAAAAAAAAACAGAACGAGCCGTCTTATTAAAAGGTTTTGTCCCAGCAAAAAAAAAATACCTCGGACACGGTTTTCAGGAGTGAAAAAATGTGTGGGCGAATTCCCGGAACCGGATACCGGTATTGTTTATGGAAATGACCCGTGACTGTACGCGACCCGAGCATGGGTGTATCTTATTATACATGCAAGATGACGTTTAAAAAAAAAAAAAAAAAATGAGAGATAAAGAGACTTGCAACCCGCGTATTAGCCGGGGCGGACATCGGTTTGATTAATCAGATTTACAAATAGGTACTGCCGTTTCGTTGACAAATTTCCGCGTGTTCCAACTTTGTTTTATGAGAACAATTTTTTATCGTTAACGTTTTTTTTTTAATCGACTATATTACATTATAATACGGCAACGTGGTAAAGGCTCGCTTGCGCATTTATCTATTTGCCAAAAGTAGTTTTGTGATTTACATATTTTTAAACCCGCAATTAAAAAAAAACACACATTTGGTTTTTGCATATGGCAAATTTGTTTTATTGTTATCAAGTTTGTTCGGGTTCGGTTTTTTGACGTTTTGTTTACTCAACGTGTTTCCTGTGCGCAGAGCTCTCTCGCGGTTTTTTGGCAATTTCCACTGTTTATACACAAACGCACGCGAGTCCAAAACGGTGTGAAAACAACACAGCAGATCCCCAGTAGCAAACGGTTAATGCGTGACTTCGGGAAAAAAAAAAGCCACTCCGCCTCGCAATTTAATATTATACGTATACCGAAAAATTCAATAGATATAGGATTTCCGATGAAAAGGATTGTTATTACTTATTATTATATATGGAAACATCTGTGCTGGCTGGCGCGGCCGCGGAGGAGTATATATGTAGGTATACTACACCCCTTGAGTATGGAGGTATACTTGCATTGTCCGGTTGTTTTTGCAAAAACCCTATAGTGTGTGCACACATAACCCCATCGCGGATTGCGCATCTGACGGCGGGGCTCGTGCTGCAGACGATTGCCATTATATTAATATACAACACGGTGCTGCATATTATCATATAAGTGTATACATACCGCGTGCTTAATCCTTTATCGTCGTGTCCATTGTGCTCGAGCCATACTTGGGTGAAATTGCGCAAAACCCAAACGACACGCGCCCGCCATCGCCACCGGTTTTCCACAAAAGTGTCAAAAATAAAACCCTTTTCCACAAAAGCGTTCGATAATAATTGCGTCAACCCTTTGGTGAAAAGGGTGAAAATGCCCAAAAAATCAAATAGGGGACGTGCCCGACAGGTGTGTGTGTGTGTGTATGTATTGAGATTCAGCTGTGCGCAGTGCCGGCGAAGGGTTTTATTATTATTATTATTGCACAACAACCGCTTTTTGGGGGACAAACACATATTGTGCAGAGAAAAGGAAGACGGGCGTGCCGACCGATGGGGGGGTTCTCCGGGAAACGGGAACAATGGAAATAGTCTGTACTCGCACCCTTTTTTTTTTTGGGTTAAAATTCCGCTTTTTCTGCAAAAAAAAAAAATATATATATATATAAGTAATAATATAAAATACAAATAAATTTTAATGTCTTTCCGCGGAAAATAAAAGAGTTGCATCTGCCTCACCTTTATTGGCTTTATTCTCCCTTTTTTTTTTTTTTTGCAATAATCCCAAGGATTACACCTTTTAGCGTATATTCCATCCGCGGGGAAAGGTCGGAAACGGTTTTTTATTTTTCGATATATTTTTTTTTAATTTCTCCTAGTTTCGGTGTACGTTATTTTTTTCGCTCCTTTCCGGAATGCCGGCGGTGGTGCGTTTATTATAAAAATAACCGAAGCCGGCGGACCGATGAAGCGGCTGCGGTAGTCACCGGCGGAGAGAAACTCCCAAGGTCTCGGGGTCAGTGAATTTACGCTCGCCGAACCGGTTTTGCCTTCGGAGACTCCTTCGGTGAGTACTGTGTGTGTGTGTGTGTGTGTATAATATATATATATATATATATATGTGTATGCATGCATGTAAGTATGGCGATGGCGAAGAAGCAGAAGGAGAAGAAGCAGAAGAGGCGTCGTAGTGATCGTCTGCCCGTATGCTGGCTTCTTCCTGCTTTTGTTCCTAACGGTCGGCCCCCGTGTCTATAAAATAATGTATATATATACTGCACGAAACGCACCGAGCACTTTTTTTTTCTTCCCGGTTTTCACTGTTCGTATAATTATCAACGGTGTTTTTTTTTTCTTTCGTTTGTTTGATCTGTCTTTATAGGCTTGTATCCGCGGATATTATCATAACAACAACACATGCGTTATTATGACTTGACCGAAGGCAATAAATATAACGCGACCACCCCTCGACGGACGGACGACCGGCCGATTAACAAGGGGCTGTCCAGGTCCGTCTGATGACTAATGACCGCGAGTGAAACGCCATAGCGTCTAGGCCCGGTGCTGACGGACTCTGACGCGGTGTGATTTACACCTGTTTAGGTTTTTTACATCAGAATTTGCATCAGAATGGACAATGCACTTTGGACGCCCTTAAGCTGCCCTTAAGCTTATGGGAAGTCACCGCTGACCGTTGTCCGTCGATGGCCGGACGACTCGCGGGTAATTAATCACGAACGGCGCATCACACCCGTTTCCGGGCTTACTTGTTCAACGGTCAAAGTCTTGTCTGCTGTTCACACGGATCGGCGGCCGTGACGATAATAATATTAAAAAAAAAAAAAAAATACATAACAATATAATATTACACACTGCCAACGGTTTTCCAAACGAACCGTCGACGGTGCTTTTTGGCGACAACATCATATTATTATTATGTTGGGTATTATAACACATCAAAACAACGCACGACGTTCGGTCGTTGTACTCGAAGAGCTAAATAAAAATCATGTTTAAAACAGAATCAATATTGTCGATCGCGCGTGCCACCGACGTAGGTATGTATTATACAATATTCGAAATGTGTACAACAATATTGTACGGTTTTGTTTGTTTTACTATAAATACACACGTGGTATAGCGTCGACATTGTTTACGAGCACGGAGAAAATTCCGAACTACCGAACGGTAAATTTCGTGGCCGAACAAGTTTTAAATTACAAAATATTACAGTAACGAACGTTTTGGCGTTTTGTCAATGAAACATAATATAACATGTATCGACGATACGGGAATATTTGGGAACCGCCGTCACTCGTCGTCGTCGTCGTATAGGGAATTTTTTTTTGAAAATTAATTGGGAAAAATTAAGCATTATAATAATAATATGTACACCACCGTCCGATCGCGGTTGCTGCCGGTGCTCGCGCGGGTTTCCGCCCGGACGTGTTTTGCATATTTTTTATTATAATAATTTGAGTACAATGTGTTCACGTTTTTTGTTTCGCATCTGATAATATTTAACATTTTTACCGTCTCGGTGTGTTTGCAGGTTCTTTGCCGCCCAGTCCCGCCGACTCTGGCGTGTCCGACGTCGACAGCAGCAGCAGCGGGCACACGTCTACCGACACCGAACTCAGAGCCCGGCTTCAACCGCACCAGTATCACCACCAAGGTCAGATTGGTTTTCAATTATCAACCGTCTAGTTGCAGTAGTGTATAGAATAAATCGAGTTTATGACTATTGTGTCGACGAATGTATAAGATTAAAAGTGGTCGACGGGGCTCGAACGAAAGCTCGCGTGTGCATGTTTGGTTAGGCTTTGTTTTGTACTGCAACTAGGCGGAACACGTATTCGCCATGGCATTTCCATTGGAATTATGTTTCTAACGGTCGTTCGTCGCTGTTTTTCTTGGCTATTTCAGTGTCTTCTTGCGGCCGTCGCACCAGTCCGGACCCGGCCCTCAACGGCGCCCAATGCCACCAACAACAGCAACAGCACCACCAGCAGCAGCAGCAGCAGCAGCAACACCACCAACAGGACCTGTTCTCCAGGATATACGGGGCGCCTCCCACGGGAGCTTACCACCCGAATCCCGCTCCTTCGTCGTCGCCGCCCAAACATCCGTTGTTCATGCGACAACCAAACCGTGAGTAGTTTTCTCAACGGTATAATTTTTCTTTTCCATTCCTGTTTGGATATACAATATTATTATTATTGTTATTTTTTTTTTTTTTTTTGTACCACCGACGCGGCAGTTGTATAACACCGTCGTCCTGGTTTGCGCGGTGACCATGGTGGTGGTAAACGGTTGGCACGCTATAAGTAAGAGTTGCACGCGCGTCGAGCGTGGGCGGGGGAGGGGGAGGCAGTGCGGTTGGTCAGTAATAATAATATTGTCGAGTGGCCGTTTTGGCACGAGACTACCGTAAAGGAGTAGTAAAAAAAAAAAATTCTTTAGTATTCGAGATTGAGTGAAAAAAAAAAATCCGCGGCGGGAACAATCCACAATGTATTAATACAATGTGCATATTATTACAGTATATGTGTCTGCTGTATGTGTGTGTGTGTGTGTGTGGAAAAAAGCGGAGACTGCCGCGATGAAAACGAGTTTGCCAGTGTTGCCAACGATAAGCTCGTTTTTTTTTTTTTTTTCGCGGAAAGGGAGACTCGGATTCGGTCACGTGATCGTTGGGTGCGGCCGAGTTGTAATAATAATTGTAATAATACATTCAATAATGATGGCGCTTGTGTTAATAACGACCTGTATATTATTGTAATGTACAATAATATAACAACAATAACAATATTATATTATTCATTATTGAGTAGCGCACATGGGTCGATAGTATACGCATAGATCTAGTACGGTCGTGGTGCCAGAGCGGACCAGAGAGAGAGAGAGAGAGCAATGACATACTAACACTTCAAGGTTAACTCTCACTAGACCGGCAAAAAAAAATATATAATAAAACAATTCTATTCGATTATTATCTTACGGTTTTAAACGTAACATTATACTTGTACAATAATAATATTAATTTCGCGCTTGTTGTACACGACCTTTAACGAGTAAACTCGAACCGATAACGCAATAGCCAATAATTGTATATTCTATTAAAATAGTAATAAATAATAAACGTTTAAATATAATAATATGTATTATAAATATTAATATAGTAATATTATTTCTAACGGTACGCATAATAATGTATTACGATGAAATCGAAACGTTTCGATGTTCAGCGAGCGAATGATAATCGTAATTAAATGTTTCTTTATTTTTTTTTTTTTTACAACGATACGGATTAGTCAAATAAAAAATATAAAAAATCAGCACTTAAAACGCGTCCAGGAAGTGTTGCGCGGGCAAAAGGTCGTCGCCGACGCAGACGCGGTGTAACGGCTTCGGTTGTAACCGATAACGACGCTTGTTCGGGTTAGATAAGGAGAATAATATAAAAAAAAAAAAAAACAACAATGCAATTATTATTAACAAGGACAATGTGCGTGTAGACCATAAGAAAAGTTTGTTGCAATACATTACTATTTCGTACACTGTAAAATCGTCGGCTAGCGTCGCCGCCAATTGGCGGTTTTTTCGCCAAAGGATAACACATAAAAGCAAAAATCACTCTCAACTCGGTGTGTGCCGCCGGTTAAGATTGCGCAACCGACGGCGGCGACGCTTGTATTACAATAATAATATTATTCTGTCATCCCGTCACGTGTCCGCCTCGCCTCCTGGTCGTGTCCCGAAGCGAAGGTCGGTCGACGGCGACGGCAGCAATACCACCAACAAGAGTGTGTCTTCGCAATAAAAAAAATAACGTAAAACGCACACACACACACACGAGGAGTACTAAAAAATTCCGTTCCGTCAAAAGAGATAACCCGCCTCGTGTTTTTTTCTTTTTGTCTGTGAACACTTCCGCGTTGGATTTTTTTATTATTTTATATTCTCGACGTGATTTTTTTCCCCATCGTTATTGTAAATAATACATCATAGTGGTACTATACGGCCGGGATATGCTTACGATATTATTTTTTTCTACGTTTGCTTCTTATTATAATATACAAAATGACTCTCGTACGAATTTCCCTCCGCGTTCTCGTCGTGGCCGGCACCGACTCGCGTATCGTTTTGACGGTTTTCGGATTTGTGTAAATAATTGTTCGGTCGACGGTAATAATAATTATCAGACGTGACGTAGTTTTTACCGTATATTTCCTTATCGCGGTTCCAACTGTTTATCGTTTTTTAATTTTTTTCCATATAAATACATTATTTTTTTTGTTATCGTCAAGTTTATTACCGTATTCTATTTCATTTTTCTGCGTAACACTGTCGCGCCAAAACTCAAGTATTGTACTATAATAATTTAATTAGGAGTACGTTTTACATGTAGATTATACAGTATAATATGTACACACGCTTGTTCGCGTGTGTGTGTGTGTGTAAACGATACAACGTGTACTTGCCGGCGAGTACAATGTGCTTTTGGCGCAAAACTTGGCAACCGCACGGACACGGTTTATCCGGTTAATGTTTTTTATATTTTTTCGCACGAGCATTCCGACCCGAGTGAAAAAGTCGTTGGTTTGGGTTCGCGTGTGCCGACTCGGTCGGTATGCGCGCAAAGTCCGAAAATAGACCCAAGTCGGTCCACATATTTAGACCGCCGTCGAGGCGGCGAAACGCGGAAGAAACGACAACAAGACGTCTTGTCTACGCGTTTCTAAAAAAAAATGGTTGTTCTTCACTTCAGTGTAATAATCTGTCCGGCTTATCTGTTTCTGGGAATTCGTTCGGGTTAGGTTTTTTAATTACGATTATTAATTATTGTCAGTCACAGTGTGTGTGTGTGTGTGTATGTGATGGGAACGCGCGTGTACAAGACACCGCCAGATAAAATGGCCGGCGCAAGTTCAAGGCGAACCGTTTCAAGTTTCGACTTCTTTTTCTCTTCTTGCGCGGTACTTTCATACTCGTCGGCCTACCAGACTTTTCTTTAATCGTTACCGCGTTTTGACGCCAGAGTGTTGTCGCCGTCGCCGACACCTACTTTTCACATTGTGTGTTATTATACAACGGCGAAAGACTGGTTGTAGATTTTTTTTTCTTTTTTTCGATTACGACCGACATCGTTATGTCATTTTGTAGACACCGCCTGCCCGCGTCCAGTGTCCTTTTAAGGACCTCTCGCCGACGCGCCTCGAGCCACCCGAAGATGAAATACAAAACGTTTTGGCGCTTATGCTGTTTGCTGGCCGTACCGAATGTTGATGGTTTTTCTATACTATTATTGCGGACGATCCAGTCGATCGTCGTTGGAGAACAACCTCGTTTGTTCAACGCAAGATCTCGTTCTCATTCTCAGAGATAGCGTCCTCGGCTATCGCATAACGTGGCACTCGACTTGATTTCTTCGTTTGCCTTCCCGTCTGTCGTTCTTCGTATAATCTTTTTCGCACACACTTGCCCGTTGGTCTGTTGTATAATCCACTTCTGTGTATGCAAATATTAATTATGTAAAAAAGAATTAATACAATAATGATGCAAGTCATCTTGTTTGGGACTGAGTATATATATATATATACGTAGCTAGATTAGAACAATTCATTTTGACAAAAAAAAAAAAAAAAACTGTTGTATTGACCCATATTTTTGTTTTTGCAATAGATCCATACGGCGGCGTCACCGGTTACCCGTCAGCCACCGGCTACGGCTCAGTGAGCCCGACCGCGGCCGGTCACTTCGCCATGCCGCCCTGCCCGTCGGCCACGGCGCTGTCCACCTCGGCGGCGGCGGCCCGCGGATCCGTCATACAAGCGGCGGCGGTCAACTGTTACCAACCGAACGCGGCCAACCTGAACGACCTGTACTACATGGATTTCGGAGCGCCGACGGCGGCCGCGGCCGCGGCTGCGGCGGCCATGTACCACCAGAAGGCCAAGAAGAAGGCCAAGAAGCAGTACAACCAGAGGTCGACCGGGCTGAGCCCGTCGTTGTGCGGCAACGGCGTGCCGCAGACAGGCTGCCCGCCCACCGGTACCGGTCCGAAGAGGAAGAGCCGAGAAGGTTCCACTACTTACCTGTGGGAGTTCCTGTTGAAATTGTTGCAGAACTCTGACTACTGTCCGAGGTTCATAAAATGGTTGAACAGGGAAAAGGGCGTGTTCAAGTTGGTCGACTCCAAGGCTGTGTCCAAACTGTGGGGAGAACACAAGAACAAACCTGACATGAACTACGAAACGATGGGCCGAGCTCTTAGGTAAAAACTAGTGATTTACACAAAATTAATACATTTTATTGCTCATCTACATTAAGCTATGTTGCTATCTTATCGTGGATCCAAGCATTACAAACGGTAGTGGATGCTAATAATATTATGTTACTCGTAACTCGTGGGCCTGAAATAAATTCCGTTTGTCTTCTGTCTAGACGCCATTAAATAATAATTAATTAAAAGACACGGCCATATTTGTTTTATCATAAAACCACATTTTTTTTTTTTTTAATTTATTCGCTTAAATTAAGAAATATATATCCCCTTCCCTACGCGCTCGATTGGTACACAATCACAATATTTTTCAATATACCGGGCGATGTTGTAAACAAGTCGGTTGTTTTGTACTCAAATGGTAAACGAGATTCGTTAACGCGGTAATTATAATACCGCGTTTAGATGTATATAATTATTACAATATAATATATGCACCAATAAACCGCGTCATAACGCGTTGTGCAATACACACGTCCACGCGTTTATAAATGTATTTAGTGAAAACAAAAATGCACGTTTAAATTAGGTGCATAACACCTGATTTCTTGGTGTGTGGCGTCCGTGCGCGTTGTAATCGTTTCGTTTAATTAAATTAATTATTATTTTTTTTTTTTTTACGGCAACCGATCGTTTCTGATATAATATATATTTTTTATTATATTATTATTGCATTGCGTCGAATAACAAAAAAAAAAACCGTCCAAAGTCCCGCCGACGTCTCTGGTTGATGAAAACAACAGAATAATACAATATAAATGCGGCCGTCTTATTCTTTGGGTACATTTCATTTGTGCAATTTTTAGAGACTAATAACGTGTTGTTTTTTTTTTTTTTTTTTTTTGTAGGTATTATTACCAGAGAGGAATATTGGCCAAAGTCGACGGCCAGAGATTGGTGTACCAATTCGTGGACGTTCCTAAGGATATCGTGGAGATCGATTGCTCCGGGGCTTGAGTGACTCGAGTCCTTTTCGCCCACCCGAGTCACCTCTCATTGTCTTTCTCTCGGTCGTCCTGTAGAAAAGAACGCCCCTCCCCCCCCCCCTCGGCACCACCGCGGCCAATTGAAGAAACGCTCATCTTTACCACGTTGCGTTTTATCTTTTATACATAAACATTTCATACGTTGTAGTATATTCATAATAAACGTGTAACGCGTTCGTTTGTTAATATAAAAATTGTTTAAAAAAATAGACTAGCGTACATCGTACAAACGACAACGATGACAACGACAACGACCAATGTAGTAATTTATATTAAGCTATATATATATATATATATATTATATACGAAAATATTCGAATATTTAATAATTTATTTATAGTATTAAAATCCACGACGATAATAGCAATAATAGCAATAATAACGGTGATTACGCTTAGAACAGCAAACTAAATGTATTTCAATCTCTGGGATTACATACAACCCGGACAAATACGTAAGAATTGAAGTAAGTCATTATTATTATTATTATTATTGCTATGATCGTCGTAATAATTATTTTCATCGTCATCATCTCATCACTTTCATTATGTTATTTTCACCATAGTCGTCTGTGCGTGAGTGTGTTTGTTGTGTGTGTGTGTGTGTGTGTTTTATGTACTTATGCGTGTAAAGACTGACAATAATAATTGATTCGAATGGTTTTTTTTTTTTTTTTTACATTTTTATTTTGTATACATTGTTTACAACGGATACAAAAAAAAAAATGAAAAACAAAAAAAAACGACGAAAATAATATTTATAATAATATAATATATTTTACTCGATGGTTATTGTTAGTTTGACCGATCTCTACGTTTTTAGTGTGTAAAAATAATTTATAAAATAAAAATACAAATCTCGAAATGTGTACAAACTATTGTTTTTTTTTTTTTTTTTTTAATATATTTATAAATGTAATATTATATTATCGTAGTATTCTCTTTTGATTTTAATATATTATTATTGAAAGCGACGATTCGAAACAAAAAATTAGATAATTATTATATAAAATATACTATAGTGTAATATATTATTATTATTATTATTATTATTATATTATATAAAATATTTATGTATAGTTGTTTTTACCATTTTTTATTATAAAATTATTATTATTATTATTTTTTGTTTGTTTCGGGAACGCGTTTTTCTCTCAATTTGTTTGTTTTTTTTTTTTTTAACTATTATTATTTATTAAGTCAACGAAAAAGTCCCCAATTTTTGTACATAACCATATTTTATAAGTTTAGCCCGTACGGTATAAATATATAATTATATTATTTTTATTTCATTATTATAATTATTTTTATTTTACGTTGGTGTAAGATTTTTTTTTTAATAATTCTTATTTTTAAAAAAAAATATGTATACATATTGATTTTCTGTAAACATTTTTCTGCAACTATTTTTGTATGCTTTCTTTTACGGAGTTAAAACAAACTTTGTTTATTATTTTTTTATTTTTATTTTTTTCATTATCAGTTTCTTTTTTAAAGTAATTTTAAGGTTTAATGTCGTCGGCTGAATAAACATATAGATAGGCACGTAAGACCGACGGCCACGCGGTACAAAACGAAAATAAAAATTTACAATACATTTATTACCTATAAACAAAAAAAACCGAATACGTTTACCAAAACTGCGCGACAACTTATTATTAATATTTATTAAATAATTAAAACCAAATGAGTAACGCGTATGGCTCACTAGACATTTAAAAAAAATATTTATATTTGACGTTGATGGAAAAAAAAATGAATAAAGCTCAAACTTATTCTAAAGAATAATCAAACGAAAACTACGACGAAATAAAAAAAAAACCATTATATTTTCTACGATAAGTAAAAAAAAAAAAAAAAAATAGTACATTTAGCAAATTCGACAAATTAATTATTTATATATTATATTACATTGTAATAATGCAAATATTATTAATTATATTAACTGTGTTTATGCCTCCTCCTATGGGTATATTTATATCTGCGGTTTGAGGCCGACCCGAGCCGATGCGTCACGATCGAGCCAAAATTGTGTATACTTAGACGGTCAGGATTTCTTTTTGGGAATTATCGTGTAGACAGTGTGTACGTTTCTTATACACACACACACACACCAATGTCTGCCCGGTAGTCCTTGTAAACAGAACGGATGACCCGTGGACTCGGTTATGTCTTTTGTCGCAGATATGTTTTTTCGAATAGACAATTGTGTCGGTATATATATATAAAGTATTGCTCAAGAAAACAAGGTTGATTTTAAATGATTTAAATTTTTATTGTAATTTTTTTTTTTTTTTTACCAAATTTGCTCGAGTCTCAATTATTATTATTAATAAATTACCTACTACTATAAAAAAAATGAGAAATCATACGATTTATTTTGTATCGCGGTCCAAAACAAAAAGCGCTATTACTAAAAATACCGTGTATTCGCCATCGCTTTCTGTGTATTGTTACTTTTTGTTTTTCCGGGAGTAAAAAATCGAAGAAAAACGAAAATGTATTTTGTTCGTTAACGTTACACCGGCTAACCTAACCTAGCTGTATACAAAGCGTGTATAATTAATTATTACATTTATAAAGGGTCTTTTTTTTTTTTTTTCGAACAATAAATGTAGTAATAATATTTTTCCGTCACCCCCCCTCTCCCAACCGGTATGGGGAACGCGGCATGTAGTTTGGAATTTTTTATAGATAAGATAAAAATAAAAATAAAAAATCCTTCAAATCGAAAACTCGCAAAACCGTTTAAATAATTATTCTCGTTTATTAATTTGTGCGATGAAAAGATAATTGTTTTATTATTATTATTGTTATGTAATAGTGTTTTTGGAAAAATAAACTAAACGAATTATGTTTCAACGCATTATAAAATATATGAATTATACATTTTCATACAAATATAAAAAATTATACCGATGTTACAACTTTATTGACGAGGAAAACAAGTATTAAAAAATTACAATATCATTAAATAGCAAATGACTAACCGTAGTAAATTATCCGCGTGTAGGTACCGATAAGAAGAAAAAATAGTCTAAACGTGTATTGCCTCTATACCAATAATTGTACCGTAAAATAAGGATATAGCGATGGCCGTTATTATAAATTTTGTTTTCACACGATCAAAATACGTTCAATATAACATAAATTATTGTTTCCTCCTGACATAAGACAATGCGAATAAGCGCCAAATGAATTTTATACAAAATAAAGTTTAAACAAATTAGGGAAATTATTATATTATATTATGTTGTTTTTTTTATGTGAAAAGTTTTTAAATATAGCGCAATTATAAAATGTTATTAATTATAAAAAAATGTACGAATCAATATTAAATGTAACTCGTGTGAGTGTTTCTATCTCTCTCTATATGATATATTTATATATTATATTTTGTGTGTCTGTGTGCATAATATGTGTGTTAAAAGTGTTAAACGCGAAATGAGTAAAACAGATGAACTGAATATAAATGCAAATTTGCGTTGGCACAAAAAAAAAATAGTCTATTGTTAAACATACATTTTTTTTTTAAATATATATAGTTATATATATTATATGAAAATAAAAAAATTGATTACAAAAACTGTGTAAGTTGATTGATTTGGTTTTATTTTAGTTAATAACAATAACAGGTACAGGACTGATCCGACATTTAGTCCATAATAAACGTATTTTTTTTTTTGCCATATTTTATTTAAAAAATACAACAGCATACCTACTACATGCTTTAAAAAGCCATTGCGATATCAAAAGGAAGAATAATATTGCCTCCGTAGTAATAAATTGTTGACAAACAGAACAAGACAATGGCAAACGAATGTGTTTAGTTGCCTATTACTTACCGTTTCAGGGGCTAAATATATTTATCATATCCAATATTATTATTAAAAAAAAATCCAACATAGTGTGGTCGGTTTAGTCCAAGGGCCGAGGGAATTATTATACCCGAAAGTGGTATAATATGAGTGAGATTTAATGAAATCACTCATATAAAACGATTTGATGGAAATCTGTAGATAACAATACATTGAATTTCCCAATCTATTAGATCCATACTAAACGTTATTTAGATTGTTCTCGACTTAAAATTTTAAACATAAAATTAAAAAACAAATATCGGGCTTTTCATTGGGGGAAATACAAACGATTAACCAACACATTTATTGTCGATTATGTGATTTATATTTAATACTTTTTACCATCCAGTTTTGCATCAAAGCTTCAATCACTTGTTTTAGACATTTATCACATTTAGTTATAATAATTTATAATGACCCGAGTGATCTACCCGTCCCCAATATAGCTTTGTATTGAAACTAAAACAAAAAAAATAAACATATCATTTTAAAAACAACTGCTTCTCAGCTAAGAAAAAAAAAAAGCATTTAGTAGAAAAATCGAAAATTTATTCATTTACATCTAGTTAATAGTTTGTATATGATGTAACCAATATAAATTACAATAATAATCATGAAGTTTAATATATAAATAAAAAAATTTCAATATTTGGTTAGGTTACTATAATAATTAACGGTTGTAATAGATATGTCAATTGACGCAGATCATACAGGCTTAGGTACAAAACTAATTTAAAAAAATATGCCACGGTTAAAAAAATAAAAAAACAAAGTTTTCGACATAATAATTTGCTAATCTAAAGGTATTAATTAACTAAAAAAATTTAATTGTTTTAAATAATAACATTTTTAAACAATATTTTTTCGTTGTTCGCATGCACACAGGTTTATATAAATACTTTTATCTTACTATTCTGTACAGACATTTCGTTCTTGAAAATTTAATAACAAACTGTTAAATGTTAACAAGTAAAATTAACTTTCAAAATTAAGAAAAAAACAATTTTCAACAAAAGCAAGCGAATAATAGTGTGTTAAAAAAAAAATGTTAGGGACACAACAAATTTTAGCTTGGTACTTTTTTGATATTTTTTTAATTTAGCCAATGGTGGGGTTTTATAAATATAAAATGTTGTGTTAATATAATTCATTAACCAGCAATGTAATTTTTTTACTTAGTAAAATCAGTAGCAACACATCAAAATAAGCAGGATTTGTGTACATTTTAACAATAATTAAAATTTAAAAAATAAGTAGTTAATTGACATGTATAACAAAAAGTATATAAGTAAAAAAAAAAAAACCTAACCTCCTAAAACATTTCCATATAGTTTGTTCTTAGGTCATTTTGTTTGATATAGTTTGACAAGAAGAAAATATAACTTGTTCGCTAACTTTGATCGCTGTCTTGATAGTGTAGTTTGCGCAGAGTAGCTAATTTCATACGCTCTTTTTCCAGCGACGATTCCAACTCCAGGACACGAACTTGGCACTCGATTTCCAAACGTTTTGTTTGATGTTCGTTCAACACGCCTAAGTCTAAATCTTCTACAATTCATAGAATAAACGTAGTGTGTATAGTCAATACATTGTGAAGTTAAAATACAATATTACAAACACATATATGGCAGTTAAAATCATAGTGGTGGAAGTCAAGTTTTCGTGAAAGTTGATTAAGTTCAGAATGGATGTCTTAGAAATCAATTTATCAAAAGGCAAAGTAAAGTGAGTGCCATGCCATTTTCAAATATTTGATTCAATCACCTATTCAATTATGATTTAAGCTACTCAGGTAACAAATATTAGAACTTGTAATAAGCCCTTTGTTTCTCTAATTGAGGTTTATGAGACTTACACCACTAGATTTAACTCTCTCTCTCTCTCTATATATATATATACCCTAAATATATTTTTAAATAATTTTAATTACTTACCTTGCTGTTGAACCAATTGGGTGCATGATTTGGCAGTCGCCACTACTGTGGCAGTAGCGTTTGTAACATCGCGAGACGCCCTCGATAACTCTGCTAAGTTGTTGCTCTCTCGTGATGCTTTTACGCGACTCGCAACAACGAGTTGGGCAGTTCCAGCTGCTACACTATGCGACGCCACTATTAATCTGGACAAGTTGCCCTCACCACTTACTGCTTCATTGGCTGCGTCTCTACAAAATGAATCATATAATTATATAATCTTATAAAACCATTGTATTCTATTCTATGCAATTAAATTGAATTTTAATCACTTACAAAAGACCTTTGGCACCTAAACCTATAGATTTGGCAGCAGAAATAAGTCCTTCTGTCCATTGGTGGTTGCGTTTATAGAACTCTTTTGCCGACCCACTAGAACCTTGATTCTCAACAATTTCCGCTTGGAGTTTTCTCGATTTGAGCACCAATATTCTTATGGCTGCCATCAGGGAAGTGCACGAATCCAATATTTGTTCATTGACTTCAAGTTTAATACCAGAATGTGCTGCTCGAGTTTCTGATATCATTTCCTAAAAATCAGTAAGCAATTTGGACGTTTCATATTTTAAGCTTTGTAGTAGAGCTAAGAATAAGAAAATAGTAAATTTGTATAACGCGTACACTGTATAGGCCTACATTTGTATAAAAACACTTGTTTCTTCTTTAAAAGAATTTAACAGTATGTCCTTAAAAAAACTGATTTTAAAAACTTAACAGAGTTTTACTAGGAACGTACTCGTGTTAGAAGAAGAACCAAGTATTTTTGTATAATCAATCATGGCACAATTTTAAAATTACTTTCATAAAATATATGTAACAGGTATTAAAGGTTATTAATTAAATTTAAGGTAAATTTTTTTTTTGTAGTTTTTCTATTTTTTTAAATATTTATTTTAATTATGTTAGAAAATTTTAAAAAAATGTAACCTATAAGAAAATGTTCAAAACATTTTTTACTTTTCTCAATTATTTTAATAAAATAATTGCGGTGCCATTTTAAAAAATCTATTCTATACAAATAAAAAAAACATGATTGATGTTGTCTTTTAATGATTTGTATTTATGTTGAAGTTTTTACCGTCTACAGCTTCACATTAAAGCGTTTATTTTGAAAGTGATTTATCACATTGAGTCATAATAATGACTTCACCACTCTCCCTGGCTTTTATTTATATTATTTTTAAAAATTTTACTTGAATGCGATTAGCTGCTTCTTCGATGGCTTTGTCCATGGTGGCGAGTTCGTCTTCTACTAAATCACCTAAAGATTCAGTAGCTTGCGTTGTTGAGGCCAAAGATTCAACGTCATCTAATGACGTTTTTAGGCCATCGCAGCATTCCTCAATTTTACTTCCAGTTTGCCAAGCAGTTAGAAGTTTTACACTGTCTCTACCGACATCTTTACACCTGTCTACTAATTCTATAGGAAAAATAAAATGAAATACGGTTAATAATCTCTTTATCTATTTACATACATATATAAGTTTAAATAGTGATAATATAAAAACATATGTCTCACTTTGAGCATCATTTAGGTTAGATTTTGTATTCGATACTGCTTTACCGAAAACAATATACATGGCAACATAATGAGCAAATCCTGCAGCATCGTCTTTTCCTTTATCAATAGCACAAAGAAGTTTTTCTTTTATTATAGTCATGCATTCTGTAAACATTATAGAAAAATGATTTTTTAATATACATAATTGCTTAGTTTTAACAAAAAATTAAAATTTACCTGGCGAACAAGTAGTTGAGGACATTGCAGGATCATCCAATAATTCACATGTATACTCAATTGTTTTACGACAACACTCTAAATTAAGAAAAAAACAGAGTTGTTGAAAAATGGGTTATGTGTTTTTGTTGTGTTACATACCGAACCAAAGAGCATTTGCAGAAAATCGTAATTCCTCAGACTCTGAAAGCCTTAATTCTAGATCTGACTTGATACGCTCAACGTCATTTAGATTTTTTTTGATTCAGTGGCTTCAACAGTTAAGGCTTCGATTTTCAGTGTTAGCTCCTAAATAAATATTATGTATAGTATTTATCAGCAAAAAGTATAACTAAATTTGAACATGTTATTTACGTCATTTTGTTGAGTCGTAGAATCGACAGTAGCTTGTAAAGCAATCAGTTCTTCTTCAATTTTTACTCTGTGTGGTGCCATATTGAACTCAACAGTACGCATGTTTGTCAACTGTTTATCAACATCTGATTTCTAAAAAATATTAAAAAAATTAGAAGTTTTCGTAAAGTACAAAACAAATTAAGTATTTAATTTACAACATATATAAAACATATTTTACAACATATTTTTTTTTTATCTACAGCCCATCCAATATTTTGATTTAAAAAAATAACTAGATTAAACTTGACCTGTACACAAAAAAATTATTTTAAAAACTTAATTTAATTTTTAGGTTTAGAAAACAATCTAATAAGCATAATAATTAAAACGAATAATATATAAACAAAAATATATAGAGATAAAGTAAATATATTCTAAACTAGTAATGATAATACAACAACTGTATCATTATGTAATAAAAAAAATAAAAGTAACATTTGGATTGATAAATTTTTGGTCAAGGTATTTTCAAAGAGTATGAACAATATCACATCTACAATTGTTTTAGCATTTTTCTTAACTAAAATATTTAATCGCTTTGTGAAACAATATCAAATTTTGAATTAATATTAATTCATGTATATACAGTAAAAACACTTAATTTAGGACTATAATTACAATAAACATAGTATTATTAGAAATTAGAAATTAAATCTAGGACCAGATTTTAATTTTAAACACTTAAACCATTATGATATACAAATAATAATACAAAATATATACTAATACGCCAATACTAAAATTACAATTAATCAAATTAAACACAATGTTTTAATGATGTTAATAGATTTCCTATTTTTCTAACACAAAATCAAAACAAATTTTTAATTTTTTTTTTTTTGTGACAAATTTTATGTTATTTTGTTCAATATGAAATAATAAACACTGACAACTTATACCTTTATACATTTTAATACAACTAAGAAAATAAATACCTGGAGATATAAGCTAGAATATAAGCATGTATATTCATCGTCATCTGGCTTTAGAACTTTGTAAGAGTTATGGCCGCCACCAAAGCAATGGTTTTTAAGCAAACTTCGTTCTACAAATAGAAATGGGACACTAATCCGTTGCCGAAAGGGGGAGGGGGTTTCTTTTTATCTTTACTTCTATACCCTGTTCGCTGAGAGAGCATGCCGGGTTTGCACATGTAGACTGAAGACTTAAGCAGCAAGAGTAAGGCTGACAGACAGGGCGGAGTTCGGGGAGAACGCTAGTCACACTAGGTGCCGCGGGGGGATGCGCAGAACGGCTAATTTTTGTCAAGTCGCAGCATGCTCTCTCGGCGAACAAGGTATAGTACGATGTTTATCGTATAAGTACAATTTATGTAATATGTAAATTATCATAACTATTCAACTAAGTAAAAACTATAAGAGACTTAAAAATGTGAATTCACAGATATAAATTACAAGCTGATTAATAAAGAGAGAAAAAAGCCAAGTGATAAGTAAAAAACAAAAAAAAAACATTATCTACCAGGACAAGGCGAAATGTACATAAAACCGGTTTGAAAATATCAACACTTGGCAATATTACAGATTTACCTATATAGTATTTACATTTAATTTGTCAAGTATTTATATCCGTTCCATTTAGCAAATGGGTACCTATTAAAATCTAAATTTCCAGCCAAATAACTGATTAATTATTATATAGTAAGGTATTATTCATAAATTTATTTTACAATATTTGAATTACAAGCGCAATAGGCCTACACCTTCCCAATACCTTGTTTACCACGTAATACAAAGTTATTGCTTACAATAGACAACAACAGTGTATTGGCAGCTTGCGCAAATTTAGTAATTTTTTCCGATCCTCTCAGTGACTTATCGACAACTGCTTTCTAAAAATTGGTTATTTATCACAAGGAACTAAAACAATGAACACAACGAAACAAAACACAATAATTGGATAGTATTTTAATACCTGTCTCAACAATGTAATGTGCTCCTCTCTTAATTTGGTATACACTTCTTTCAATTTGTTGAATTTTTCTTCCAGCAATTTATATTTTTCTAAACAAATTATCAATAATTGTAATTGATTTTCAATATTTTTATTACACTTATTACTATGATAACTTACTGTCCAGTTCATCATAATTGCCTATGGAACTTGTCTGTTGTAATAGTTCATCTCTAATGAGTCTTTCTTGGGTTAGTTCACTGTCCTGAAAGAGATATATTTTAAATATTATATTACATAATAAATTTAAATGTTGTTTATTCAATTTATACTTTTTTTGCCAATTCCATTTCTAATGTAGAAACTTGTTGTTTCAATTGAATTATCAACGTTTGATGGGAATTTAATTCTCCGTGTAAATGCTGAATAACATTGTCCCTAAAAATTGTGAATAATTTATAAACTAAAATCACTGAAATTAAATATTTGTGGTTGCTTTTGTTTTTTACTTAAAATAATATATAATTTAAATTTTTTATGGCCAGGTGTATTTCTTACGTTAGTGCAGACCATGTAGAAAATTATGATGACAATTTAAAAAAAAAAAGAGAGAAACAATTAATTGAAATTTAATGTTATTTTGTTAATAGATTGGTTCTCAAGACACTAATTTAAATTTTAGAAGTTCTATATGATAAAACCAAACTAAGTCAATGATTAGAAAAAAATAGTGATGGTTATTGATTGATCATTAAGCTGACGAAAAAGGAGAAAGCCAATAATAAAATAATTGATTTATAAAAGTGTCAATTAAATTAAACAACTCAATAGTTCTAAACATAAAATAACTTAAAATCAATTTTTTTCTATTTAAAAACAAAATAAATTGGAATCTTTCCTGCAATATTTATAAATTGCAGGGCGGGTTGCATAAACGTCCAATATCGACTTATAAAACGTTTAACGCATTAACAGCTCGGTAAATAAAATTAGGTGTTGCTTGAACGCCTGATAGGATTAACGGCTATGTAATATATCGGTTGTTGGACCTGTAGAATACTGGTCAAATTTTGTCTAGGACGTAACTTACAGATTGATTAATGATGTGAAAAATGGTTTATGTTATCAATGTTAATGCAGAAATTACAATAATTTGATAGAATTTTAAATTTTATTACTTAAATAATTTTATTTACGTTATTTCGTATTATTATGATAATTAATAAAAAATAATAATATAATATAATAAGATTTATTAAACGAAAACTGGTTTAATTTATTTTGTAGCCATGGTTATCAATAATAACCGTAATTTTGTTAAAATAATATAACATTTCTTTATGCATCACTTTATTAGTTTACACAATCATTAAAATTGTACACAATGAATTAGTTACAACTTACAGAGCATTAACACATTTACAGACAGATTTTTATTCAATCCGCGCTTAGTGAATAATAGTAATAATAATTAATGGATCTATCAGCTAAAAAATGAAAAAACAAACCTCTGAGCCAATAAATCGGGTGATAAAGACCTTTGACTGGTTTCGCTGCTGGTAACACTGTTTCCAATTCCTAAATCAACTAAATCACCAACCATACTATTGTTACTTTCTGGCGGGTCTTCATCTGGCAATACAATGGCAGCTTGTGTAACGTATGTGGACAATTCGGCTTGTATCAAAAAGTTTGGTGGGTTCTAATAATATGAAAATAAGCCAATAACTTTAATAATTGCATAACATGATTTTCCTACTACATTACTTCGGGCAGAAGTGGTATTTGTATAAGCGTTTTGAAGTATTGAAGATTGGAAGACCCCAAATAAAATTGACGTAAAATATTAAATTGTCTTAAAAACCGTTTTCTATGTCCCGACAATAAGTCTGGCGGTAGTGTAGCATGCATCCTGAATAATATTTTTACGCATAAATCATAAAGCTGAGCCGAATCCAAAATACAAGGCATCAATGGGGCCAATCGGCATTGACCATGGCTAGTCATTGAATTCGAGCGAGACATATCTAATGAACCAAAAACTGAAAGAAAAATAAGTATTAAATTTAATAATTATCCAATACTGAATTGTGGAGTGCATAGACTTAAAAATACATTTTATTAAAAAAGAACTAACTTGCTGATTGCAAACCCAAAATTTCATCGATATAGTCAAACATTTCGACACACATTTGGAAATAATTATTAACGTCATTATCGCCAATTCGGTTGAGGTCATCTTCAGATATAACAAGATTTCCTGGAAACCCAGGATTGCGTCGATGAAAATCTAATTTTGTTAATAACAGTTGACAGTACTGCTGAATGAGTTTGCCATAGCCATCTTTTAAATGAACCTTATTGAATAACCAGAATTATAATTTGAAATACACTAAATAAGTAATATAATATATATATAAAAAAAAAGAAATATGTATAATACCCATAACTTTCCCAAGTCCTGTAAAAGAGTTTTATGCCTTTGTGATGATTGAATGACATTAGGATGACCCTCGCGTAAGACTTTATGAAGCACGTGGCAAAATTTCCATGCAACAATTCGATGTTCTTGAAGTGGCAATTTGGTAACGCATCGCCAAAATGTTTCACCGCTTTTTTCTTGAAATGTACCTATTATAGCATCTTAAATGGTTTTAAGTTAAGGAGTTAATTCAACATAAATTAAATAAATATATCATAATATAATATATGATAAATATGATTACAAAAAAATTAATAAAAAGGATACTTCTTGCGTGTTTTTCTTTCACAGGATTTTCTAATGTATTTATAGCCTTGCTGATACTGGCAGCCTAGATCAATACATAATGCAAAAATTAACAAAAAGTTAAGATGTAAAATAAAATGTAAGTGTTAAAATAATTACAGAACCTGTTGAAAAATGTTATGAATCGTGTAGTCAAAATCATTATTATAGTTACAACTTAGCATGTTTTTTAAAATTTTAATCTTATTAAAACTGTAAGCAAATTGTAAGTTAAATATGTTTTACGTTTATACAAAACAATGTGTTTTAAAACTAGGTTTAGTCATTTCGAGATTAAAATGATAAACGTTTCTTAATAGTTTTAAAATTGTTCAAGAATTTCAAACTAAAATATATTGAAACGTTTGTTTCAAATAGTTTTAACTGTTTTAGATAAATATAATGAAATGTATTCTTAAAAATAAAAACGATTTGTTTAATAATTATATGAAAATTGAATGTTATTCATATTTTGTTGCTTATCTGGAACACTCAAGTGCCGATGATTACTTCTTCATAAGAGTTTTATTGTGCAACGTAACTAATTCAATAAATATTGCGAAGAGGAATGAGGATACAAAGACTATCGTTATACCTATACTAGAGGCATAACAACCTAATGTGTATATATATTATATAATTACTTGTATCTTCTCAAAGTGTTCTCGCTCTTGATCTAGACTAGTTTTCCTGTTTTGAAGAACTCTCGGCAACGACAGTGACGACATGACAATGTCACGACTGTTTACAGACTATACATAAAAACAAAAACAAAAAATATATATATATAAATATATATTTTATAACAAAAGTAATTAATGTAACGGCTTCATTGAATATTGTAGATAATAAAACTAATGTAATATATTATTATATATTGTTTTTTCTAGGACATTCGACGGTAGTGGCCCGCGAAACACACGCGAACATATTGTTGAAAGATAATTGTTTACTAATGGCTAACAGCAAAACGCTAACGTCTGTCGACAACAACACCGAAAGAATACGAAAATTATTGTTACTTACGGCTGGGTGGGAATGTGAATGTAAAAACAACACAAGCTCACCGTCCGTGGCCAATTCAATTAGAATATTATTACACTTAGGTGTATATATTTTCATTCATGATAGTAATCGTATTTCGTTATTATTATTTAAGCGTATTATCACTAGTGACTCGTTGGAAATTTCATTGATACCGTGCACGCCCCCGCTTGTACAATGGTCAATGCCCGCTATAACTATAGTAGTACACGGATATAATATAGGACAGCATCGCAATGCAGTGGCAACTGGCCAGTGTAGCCAACCGCTTACACACTTCCACCTTGGCCAGATATTTTCTTTAATACCGTAAAAATGCAAATAACTGTTTAATGTTTATAATGACGTCCATAAAACTATTAATAAAAATCGTCTTTCTATATAACATAGTGAAGAACTCAAAAAACTCGAATCTCATTACAGATTAGATATATTTTTATTTTAGGTTATTTTTTTACAACGTATTTTTCCGAAATATACCGGGTGGTATGTAAATATTTAAAATAGTCTAATAAGATCTAAATATGTATGGTATATTCTTTAAGTATAGTATTATTGATATTTGTAGTCAAACCTATCTAATTCCGCTATTTCACAATTATTTCTTGTAATTCAAATTTTTTAAAAATGTATGTTAGTACACAACTACGGCCAAGGATAAACCTTTTCATTTTAATGGAATAGTTTGTTTAATTAATTAAATACTTGATGAACACAATACAGATAATATAACCAATTGGTTTTATGTTTTGTTATTTTATTTATCGAGTTTCGTTTACATGTGTTTTTTAACATTACTGACGCATATATTTACAGTTATAATTTCATACATTAACAACATAAAATGTTAGGTTTTTAATAAACAAATCTGATAGTTATAAACTATTTAAAAGAATAATTTCTATAAAAAAAAAAAATATATATATATATATAGAACTACATACAGTTTTTAACTAATAGGCCTAAGTCGTTATTAAAACAATTGTGGTTTTTGGAAAATAATTGTTTACAAGACATCAATACCATTAGCCGAGGGCAAATGATCATGATTTTGTGGTAACGTTTAGGTTCCACAAAAACTGACTACGCGAAAACAATACAAATCTTTTCTAATTTGTTCACGCTTATAAACACAGTAACACGAATAAGGTCACATGGATAAAGTATAAATGTTCCTTAAAACGGCACGTTGCTGGTAAGCGCTAACAATACCATACAACACAATGCACACTGCACACAACCCCTTTAGAAAACTTTTAATTGTATGACATTTTAATAAAACATTATGATGTAGATGATAAAATAGTAATCTGTAGCTGGTGAAAAACATGAATTTTGAAGATTTTAATAAAAATGAATGTAAAAAATAAAATTGTGTTTTAATTTTGTAGGTTTTTTTTATTTTGATTGGAATAACTTTAAGCTTTTACCTACGATAAACGATTAGACTCTGTCTATTCATTAATCCGACCAGTGTGCTCGTTAAAATATTTTTGTCTTCCAATAACAGTTTTATTATTTGCATATATTGTGTCAGTCCGCTAAACAGGTATTCACATTTTATTTTAAACCTACTTAGTTTTTAGAGATGTGCGATTGTAATGTCTCGTTTTGTGTCATAATTATAACCACATAATGAGTTATGCCAAGTGCAAGAATTATATTATATATTTTTAATTTCCAGTTTTTGCCGTAACAATAACAGATATAATATCGTATTTATTATATCGGATAAATGAATCTAAAATATTTATTTTTATAATTTTCTTTGTTTGGCCATGATCTAGAAATAAATACTCATAACATAATTTGATCTACAGTTTCATCGGTGAGTTATCTACCAAGCATAATAATTATTGTTCTTGTATATTTTGTAGCTTAAGCTTATTTTCAAATATGAAAACACATTTGTAATTTTATACATGTACAAATTTCGTTTTTAATGTGTTTAAGGCAACCGTAGTTTGCTAACGCAATTTTTGTTTAAATGAAAGCGATTTATCGTTTGACAAAACATAAACATTTAAAAACTTTCTAGAAATTGCGATTTTCTTATACACTTACATGAACACTACATAATAAGAATAGTCATGTTAAATAGGTAAATAGTTAATAGTAAATATTATATTGTTCTGCTCTGATTATCTCTTTAAGAATATCTCATTAATTTTATAATCACGACTGTTTTTAAAATTTAACAAATTTTTAGAAATAATGCAAAAAGTAATTAAAATATTCATATTTATAACTTATAATTTATAGTAGGTTTCTGCTTTATTATGTTTAGTTAATAATACAATATCCAATATCGTATTATAATATCAAATATGCATTCAGGTATTATTACAGAAATTGTGTACACTTATTTCGTGTAGGTATTCTATTACACATATTCCAATGACCTATTGATATTCTATATTGTATTTTACTAAAAATAAGGATATTCCTACTGTGTTGTTCAACAGATTTCAAACCAAACCAATAAAGAATTAAATAAAATTATAAATATAAAAATACAAAAATGTATACAAGCTTTTAGTAACTTAAAGATGTCAAACATGTTAACTGTATTTTTGTGTAGAATTATACTATTCTTATTTTACATATTCAGGTAAACATTACTACAATAATCAGGAACAATGTCAAACACAAAAGTACACTTTTTAAACATAAATGAAAGTTTTATTTTTTCACATTTACATAGGTACCTAAATTAATACAATTATCAGTGTACGATAAAGTACAGCAGTTTGATAGAAAAAGAATTATCTACTAATTGTGTTAAAACAATTAGTTGTTTATTTAATAATTCCCAGCATTAATATTTTAGATTTTATTTGAAATCTATAAACAATTACTTAATTTAATAGGATTAAAAGATCTTAATAAATATATAAGAACAATAATAAACATACATAGATATTTAAGTCGAAGTAATATCAGTTATGGTAGATAAAAAAGGTTAAGACATACAATTTGTAATAAATGAACAATAAACATTGAATTAAGATTTGTAAAGATTAGTCATGAAAACTTCTTACTACTTCTACTATATTCAACTATAGCATGATAATAATTATATTATTTTTACTATGGATAATTTACAAACTTGATTATCTATAAGCACATGGCTAAAGATACAAAATGTTTTCACGATAGCATCGTTACCTATTGTTTTATTCTTAATCCATAATTTATTCACAATAACTGTCATTAAGGCAATTTTAAAATTATAACAACTACATACACATAAAATTATAGTACTTACATTTGTAGAAAAAAAATATATAAATACATAATTAATTTTAATAATATAGGGTGGTCGGTATTAATAAATGTATCACAAATTCATATTACATCAAGATGAAGAATACATTTTTGGAATCCACCAGGAATCCTTACATTTTTTTAAAAGGCCGGGTGGCATGAAACAATCGGAACTAGCATCTAAGACTTGCAGACATAGCAGTTGAAGATTAACAGGAAGTGAACGGCAATATTTCACCGTAAACTGAGTTTTACATGCAGTCGAGCATACCATAGGGTACAGGAGATTTTGTTTATTTAGTTTTCCAAAGGCTACGCCTGAAAATGTATTAAATAAAATATTAAGTAAATTATTAAACATTAATTTAATAATTATTATATATGAGTCATGTTTAGTTACCTAGTGAATTTCGGTTGTGAAAAAATTCCAAAGTACCTCTCCACATGTCTAACCTGACACCTATCAATGTTTTTGCTTTGTCGAAACGTATGCCATATGCTTTACTTTCGCCATCATGATGTTTGACACCTAAAACAGTACATGTTATGTTTTACAATTCCCAATCTACTCTCTCTTTAACCATGTTTACTTTGCATTAACTTGGTACTTTATGTTTTAAATGCACACTGCTGGAAAGAGAATGAAATATTTTCTTGGTTAAATTAAATCTTATTTGTACATAAGATCAAATACTAATGTGAACTCAAAGAAAAACCGGGTTTACAAAGCTTAAATTTGTTTTTATTTTTACAAAATATTTATTCTATGTTTTAGAAATTGTAATACAAGGTTAAGGCACCTGGTGTGATTTTTGCTCAAAAACATGCCTTACGAGCAAAGTGATTCTTCGTAGTTGTCAGAATTTACTTTCTTTTTTTTCTTTTTTTCTTAAAGAGAAAGACTACTTACAGCCGGCCAGGGCTTCAATATTTTTAATTCAGATTATATGCATTTTCTACGTCATAATTAGATTTTGAATATTGAAGCTTCCAAGAGATTAAGGGCGTACATAACATTTCTGTGAAAATCTACTTTATATCATATTGTCACTTATCCTGTAGTAATTTTTTAATACCAATATGGCTATAAGTTATAACTCGTGTAAAAAGAAATGTATATTAAAAATTAGACCTTACAGATAATACAAATAATTTTATAAACATGTTAAAGCAGACTCACACGCTCTTTAAAAGTCTATTGGACGGCATGGCGTATCCATTGAGTAGTCAATAATTAGTACATGAATATTTCAATTTTTGATCAAAAACATAATGAGTATATTGAATTTGTAAACTAGGTTCAGTATCGTGAATTAACAACTGCAAATAAATGTAACAATAGATTAGTGCTTACGTCTACTCACCAGTGTATGAATAACCCCAGGACTTATTGTCCGAACCGATTAAACTGCAGTATTTGTCTTCGGAACTTTTTAAATCAAAATCCTTAGTACCAACACCAACGATCTATAACGGTAAAAAATAATCAGGCTTTTGTTTGTGATTACTTATTACCGTCATCACAATCCGATGCTTACCATATCGGTGGCTGTATGAGAGCCATTAACTTCTATTTCCCAATAATATATTTGACCCGGTACAAATGGAGTGTCACCTCGCACGGCTCCAGTACCTCGACTCGATTTCGGATGGAATACGATGTGGAATGAACCGTTTCCCAGTCTTACGTCGGTGGTAGCCTCCAAGGGGTCCCACGACCATTCCAAATCTAGTTATTGGACAATAACCAATTAATACTTAATAAATAGTAATAATATAAATTACATTATGTGAATTGTACACGGTTTTTTGCAATTTTGTCGAAACTCACCTTTAGGTTGAATGACAGACGATGGCTGAATGGTTTTCAGTAGTCGATAACAACTGCTGAAATGAGTCATTATTTTCCATAGAAAATAATAATAAATTAATTAAATAATAACACAATTTGACTTGAACACACACGGAAACAACATCCAATTATCATTCATCCAGATCAGATGTTCAATATTTACCTTATATTTAGCATGTAAAATAATACGAGCAGCGCCACCTACCGTTTCTAGAAGATTCTTTGTAAATAGCTACAAAATTGAACGTTTAATCAGTAGATAGCGCTGTGTTAGACTGAATGTTTTCAGACATTTTTTTTTTTTTGATAAAATAACCTTTGTTAAAAGTTTCTACTTCTAATTTACAAATCTTAGTCTTAGAGAAGTCTCAAAAGTATTAGTTAAATATAAACAACTACGATTATATACTGTGTTCTTTATGATCGTGAAACGACATTGATGTCACCTTGAGTAGATTATTATACCTACTCGTTTATGTATTTGTAGAACTGATATTAACATTACGAAAAATGTACTTTACATTGACGATTTGCCATAATTATAAAAACGAATGTAGGTACGCAGTACTAAGCACAAAGGTTTATCTGTCAAAATTAAAAAAAAAAACAATAAAAGTTATTAAAAACACATTAAACCATATTCTTACTGATTAATCTTAAATAATACTGTCTAATTATTAAGAATTTAATATGTTCATTTTAAACAGAACATGCTCCCAAGTCCCAACTATCAGAATATTGTGATTTTGTTTTGTCAAAATAAAATAATTACTATCTATTCAAGTCAACGCATCAACTTTTAAAATTATAGGACGGTCGTCCATTTTGTTTGTCACAACTTGTTGTAATATGTAAATATGAAAAGTTATTACATATTATATTTAGAATTATGCAGTCTGCCTTACTTACATAACATTATAATATTCGTTACCGGTTAGGTATTTTCCAATGTAAAGAAAACAAATATCCCAGTTAAAAAATGTCGACTTCCAATGAATTATATTTAACTATTATCGTACCTGTAAGTTCTAAACCAAACTTCTTTGCACAATTTTCTTTTGTCAGCAAAGAAAAAACCCTTTGCTCGTACGTGACTACAAGCGAAAATCGAGTCCCAATCATTCTTAGGTAAACTCGGCGGGTCATTGACTGTAAATAACAAAAACTAGATAGCGAAAATCATAATACGTACAACTTATTTAAAATAATATTATGTTTTCACGATTTCTACATTTCACTAATAAAATATATTATTATTAGTGATCTATAGATCTAGAGAAATAGTATCACAGGAAAAATACTAAATCATGAAACTTGCTAAACAAATATTATATACCCAAGTATCTAATATTATATAGATATATCATATATCTTTAGAGAAGATGCCTCCTAAAATGAATACTTGTACTATAGACATTGGTAATATTGAACGTGCGAATCATTAAAACAATATTACCTATACTGTGTGTCTACTTGACCACTTTAATATAATACCTACTTACAATGGATACATTTCTTAGAAAGTTGTTTCCTCGAACGTTAAACACATTTTAACTGGTCCAACAGCAGACCAAAAATTCCAAATTGTGTTGACTTGTCATACTTAGCGGTGGATTTATGGACATAAAAATGGAAAAATATTAAGTTGTCACCGAAGTCGATATAAGAGGGGGGGGGGATACATTTTAACAAAGAATAATATGTTTTTTCTATTACCATACACCACCCATTAAAACGGAAACAAAAAAAAAAAACACAAAATATTAATGGTCAATGTTTTGTTGTACATATTTTAAGGACATTTTATCGCATTGACGACGTCTTAAGGCTAAGCCATTTATAAGATCAAAACGGCGTCTCAAAAGTATTGTGGGCCGGGCGTAGGCGTACATTGGGCGATAATGAATATTATATACTGATGATACTGACTTACTGTAAGAACTGCTATTGAAGTAAATCATCAGTACAATTCTACGCATCTTCTTCCTGAAAAATAAAAACACCGGTTACAAAAGATACCGACATAACGGTTGGAAATACAACTTTTGCTTAAATTAGGTACACATAATTATTGTGTATAATGTACTGAATTCAAATATTTATTTATACATACAAATTGTAAAATGCGTAGAAAAAATGTCGATTACATCCAAAGGTAATGTAAAACTTAAAGACCCGTTTAGTTGATAGACACAATAACAAGATTAAATATTGTTCTATGTTTACAAGCTTGTTGTTAAAATATTAAAACAAACACAATTATAAGGGCAGAATATATGTTTAGACACAGGCAGAGATTTGGGGAGTGCTTGGAATACTAAATATAATATTTATAAATATCTAGATGAATTAAAATTTTTTGTCAAATATATTATATATAAGATAAGTGGTTGCGGTATATTTTGCTTTTTTGACTTACATTCTCTGCTATAAAGTCAGTTATTATCGATAAAACGAAGAATTTAATATCTCAGTATAATGATAATTAAATTTCAACATTTAATTGCTGTTGGCTTGTATTAAAGCATTGGCAGTATCCTATTAAATTTGATATTTTCATTTAATTTTTATGCATATTTTATAAGTCATACATTGTATTCGGCTCTTAACGATTAATTTTAATTTAATGAATGGACTTTGAGTTTTATCATTTGAGTTCTGTATACTATAAGAAACATGCTCTCGATCCAAAAATAAGATAAATAGAATAATATAGAGATAATAAGAATAAAATCGTTGTAATTTATACAATATAATGTTCAAAAATTGATATATGAGGATTGGTAAATAACTGTCTGATACGATATTGGTCGTTTATATTTCAATATATTTTATTCTTCTCAAAAATGCTACTTTACTCAAAATACAATTTGTGTCTATTGTTCCGTCGCTTTATTGTTGAATTATGTACAAACTTCATAGAATAATATATATTAAATGTTTTCTCTACTATATTTATTTCTCTTTTATTTATACTTCCAGTACACAAAATATAATTTATACTGTTTCCAATTATAGCACAATAGTAAGATCAGGATATTGTTGAAAGTTTGAATCCTATCTATAAATCATTAATAGAGAGGTTAGTTAAATGATACATATAAATAAACAAAGCGTTAATAATAATATCAGTTTGAATCTAATTTTTTTTTTTAAAAGACGAGTTTGGGTCATAAAGTTATTTACATGTTGAAATAAAAAAACTAATGACTTTTTGAAAATAATGTTTGATTTTCTTTCTCCTGTAAAAAAAACTACTTTTTAACATTGTATTTGATAAGATAGTTCTTTTCTTCTACATCTAAAAATGTCTATAGGCTCTCTAATCTGTCCAAAAGACAACAAATGGAAAAGTGGCTTTGAACGTTATTTTAATTATATCACAAGCAAACTAACAATAATATAGGTAATAAAAGTTTTCAATAAAAGCTAATTTTCATTAAAACAGAAAATATCAAATGAAAATTGTGAATATTTTATGTTTACATAAGTTTAATATACACATCAAGTTTGCTTCGCAAGTAAAAAAAAAATAGATCACTTTTTGTTAAAATATTTAAAACAGTTTTAAGTTAGTGCAGTATAAAGACAAAATTACTAAAAAAATCACCACAATATAAACATTACAACGGATAGAAATCCAGCATATTGTAAAAATGTAAATTATTTTTGATAATATTTAGACAGCTTTTTGCAAAGCTAAATAGTGTTTTGAAGTTAAACCATAAATAAAAACGATTTTACCATACGTGTAATGTTATATTTCCTTCTAACTCCTACTATATTTATTTTAGTCTATAATTTGTATAGTTATAATTTGTGTTATAGTAAATAGTTAAATAGTTAGCTAAGAGCTTTAAGGAACGCCGTGTCATGATAACCGTTTTGATAGGATTGTGATCGCAACCGTCTGCAGTTAGGTAATTCGCCATAAACTCAATTGGTCATGATTATGATGTCGTCTTTATGATACCTTTTTAATTTTTTAGAAATCAAAATCTATCGACGATATTTATGCAGAAAATACGCTTTCATATTGGTGATTTAATGCTTTCAGATTTCAAAAACTGTATAAAAATAAAAAAGTGAAAGAGATAAGTAATTATGGATCTATTATTATAGTATTTTCTATAGGAAATAGAGTATACTATTACCAACAACGTCAGAGTCCATGACTACGATGTCAATGTATTGTATTCATTTAAAATATTGTTCTGATCTTTTTTAATTTAAGAACAATATGATGTCGCTAAAACGATTTCTTATAGTAAATCGTTTTACTTGAGCAGTTGCCTCGTTTACCCAGCAAATAGTCATACAAATGTGAATTACATTATGTAAGTGTTTTCTTGTCATCAATAATAATTCTGCTTTCGATTTGTGCTCCTGTTTTGTTTGTTATTATTATTGTGTCGGATTTCCACCATACAGAACCTATGCAATTTCAGTACGCCTATGTACAATAATATTATAGACTTAACATGTTGTTATTGTTTCAGTTACTGAAAATGCTTTTGAGCTTAAGGTGACGTCACACCACTATAATGTTTAATTTTGGTTTGGAGTATAGACAATTTTTGGATAAAACTTAATATAAAGCTAACATTTCCATAGTTGTCTACTAATATGACAAAGAGAAAGCTATTACCATGCAAGTAAAAAAAATGTTTCAACAGGTGCACTTTAACAAGAAACGGAGTCTTACAACAAAAGAGTACTTGTAGTTGTATGCAAAATGACACTAACTTGTTGTTTAAAATGTTAGCAACTGAGTTACTGGACAACCAATGATTATACATTTTATCGACATTTCAATGAAGTCCTAATCTTAGTTGTGTGTACTTTTTACTAAAACTACTCAGTCCCTTAAGAAGTATCTTGAAACATGATTTGTAATAATAAAAAATGTAGACTAAAATAAAGTTGGTAAATCAAGTTTCGATGTAAAAAATCAGATGTTTGCTAATGGACAGGTATATATATATATTAATATCTTTATAATATTTCTAGTCAATATAGCAGTGAACAATTATATGAATGTCCTAATAATAATAGATTAATTTGTAATAGTCACTTGACTAATACAATATACGCTTCTCTAATAAAAAAGGTGTTGTCATTATTATTATCGTTATTTTTGTTCACATATATTATGTAT